CCAAACCTCTGATTTAGTAGATGACCTGCTCTGCCCGCTAAATCGCAGCCACCCCTCAAAGCTGACCTCCTGTGAGGTCAGCTTTTACAAGAACTGGGAAATTTATCCACCAACAAAGTTCAAAGTGCAGTTTTCTGTGTAACTGGTAATGTATTTCTTTTCACAAGCTCTCCTATAAAACATGAGAGTATGCCAAACATCAAATTAAGCCAGCTTGACTTCTGTTTGACCGTAATCTCAGACAGTCATCACCTCCTGTACCCAGCAGTCACTGTTCTGCCTTCTCATATCAAAGCTTATGATTAATTCTTAGAAAATAAACTTCAAAATAATTCACCATTATATATCTGTGAAGAGAAAAATCAGTAAATCTGACACTACCTGGCTTTGTGCAGCAGTAAATGTGTCTAAATATTTGCCATCGAAAAAAGCTAACTCAGCGAGGAATTCATAAAATACAACAAAAACAAACCAACATGATCCCCCAATTTTTTTAAAGGTCCCTTTAAAACCTTTTGTTTTCAACATGTTCTTTCTAATCAAACGTTTGACATGATTTGTTCTATTCAGTATGCAAATTTAGTCTATGGGGTTTTTGTTTTATTTTCCAGAATAGCTGCCAGCATTTTGACTGTTATAAAAAAAAGGACACTTATTAAAAATTGTTCATTTTTAGTATAATTGTGTCCTTCTGAATACAAATCAATTATGCATAGCTTTAGGCCTTGTTGAATTTCATTTCAAATCTCTTTTTTACCCTCTAATCTCATCCCAAATTGTTTTAATCTTTCTGCCAAGTACAATGAAACAGTTTTCCTCTACCCTCTGTGCATTAACTGCATATCTCCAGTATATTTTTATTACAGCAATTAATCTTGGCTTGGGTTACATATACTTGCATTTTCTGCTAAGATGTGTACCCACTGCCTCCTAGTGTATCCGTTGGATAATAATCAGAACATTGAGTTCATTCTTCTCTGATCATTCTCTTGTAGGCAAATTCATGTGCAGACTGTCTTTGTCTTGCTGCATGACCCACTTTCTCCTGAAACTGTGGCCTGGAATATTTCCTTTAGAATTTTCTGGTATAATTTGGACGTCACTGGTTTGTCAGTAATAGCAAAACAGGTCCAAGTTATGTATATATACACCACCACGTTTCACAGTTGGAGTAAGGTTCTTATCTTGGAAAGCAGAATTCATCTTTCTGCCAAAAATGCTTTTCATTTCCACTAACTCTCCAGTGTCACCCAATAATTTTTCCAAGAGTTTTCTGGCTTGGCCATGTATGCTTAACAATTTTATGTTCAGTTGTATTCTTTTTGGAAACTGGCAACTTTCTCCTTTCAAATGTGAGGATGAAACCTGACAAGATGCTCACTAAAACCCCACTGTGATCCCATTAGTTCCTTGTCAAATCCCTAGCAGATCCCGTTCCTCAATATATAAATTCTAATTTATCATGTTTTTTTCTCTCATCTTTTAATTAGGTTCTGCTTATCTCTGCGTATCTGCTTGTTTTTGCAGTTATGTTGTGCTGAGGCATCCAGCACACATCCTCTCTTCTTGGCCAGAAAAAAACTTGAACTGAAATAAAAGACTTTGTTCTGTTTTCAAAATCATCTTTGGCTGATGTAGATAAATATCAAGGAAATGAGAAAGGACACCATCACAAAATTTAAAATATAGATATACAAAAAATACTAGCTTAATTTGGATTTTGCCATACCATGATAATTAATCCCATTAATATCTGTGAAACAATCCAGTTGACTTGGATTGTTGAGTGTTATGTGCTTTGTATATGAGAAGCTGTAAATAGGGCAATCAGCTGTCCCTCTTTAAGTGGGACTGCACAGTGTTGGCACTCCTGTCCCACATCTTCAGATCACATCCTACATTTTCACTTGCTGCACAGGACACTATTCTAAAGCCTGGCTCTTACTCAGTGAGTGTAAAAGGAAAAACTTTTTATTTTTATTCAGACGTATGTTAACCTGCATAATATTTTGCCAATTAGTGGATGTTACAAGTTACCAAAAAGGCTCAGCACTAGTAACATGCACCGCTGTGTTTGTCCCACATTAATTTGTTGGGATTTGGTCATCTCAGCTGTAAATAGAATATCAGTCCTCTACCTGCAAGATGGTGTTTTCTACGGACCTCCAAATCTGCTGTCAGATAGCAAACATCCAGATATTTTAGGAAATTTAAGCATCCATCATTCGGGGTTAACGTCAGCTACACTCCATAAGTCCATATCCAGAGAGCAATAAAAGATATATATCCTTAAAAATATGAAGGATCGGGCTCAAGGTCATCTAGATGTCTAGATATTGGAATTTCAAATGTCTGTTTTTATTTTATTTTTTTAAATTCATTTATTTTTAGAAAATTATTGTCAGTAAGGATTTGAAATTTTAAACTTTTCTGCAATTCCTATCACCTGGGATTACGTCCAGACAAATCAGAAATGTTGTGGTGTGAGGCATTTGAGAAACTGGACTGATCCACTTGTAATTACATTTAATGTGTATGCACGCGATTTGTTTCTTAAATCTTATGTACATGACTTCTTGACTGAAGAGCTAAAAAAAATCACCTGAAAGTGCTGAAACAAGCTGAAATACGAAATTTAAGATGGAACCATATGGACGGAACTGCTGCACTTCTCCCCCTCGCCGGGTGGTGGCAGCAGCAAGCGCGCATGTGCCACAAACTGTATTCTCCACGCCCATACAAGGCGTTTACTTCAAATTTCCGCATTTTGTGCTAAAAGGACAACTAGTCGCACTAAACTTTTCTCTGTTTTGGTGCAGTTGTTTTAGCTGTTATTTGAGTGGCAATGGCGAGACTTCTTCTGGGGGCAAACCTGAGGAGATGCGTCGCCTCTCAGATCAGAATGGCATCTGATCAGGTAAACTTTGGTGGGTTTGGTGACAGTTTTGGACGTTAGCAGCTAGCTCGCTAACTTCTGCCATATCGATAAAAGGCTCGCGAGGAAGCCAGGTGGTCAAAAATGCGACTTAATTGGTGGAAAAAGCAAACAGTGATGTTTGTAAATAGAGACGACAGAAGATCCCTCGTGGCTGCAAAACACGCAAAATGATGTATGTGCAGTTTTATTTACCCCTAAACACTTTACTGACTCACTTTTTTGCGACATGTCAGTTGGTTTATGGCTATATAGACTAAGTATGTGACATTAATTGTAACGCTGTTCTTATGAACAGGATAAAATAAATATTTTATCCCCTTTTTAGTTGTGTAAATACCTGAAATCACCAGCATTTATGTGCAAAACTGCTGAAATGTGGCAAGCCCCTTATCTTGGAAAGAAAAATTAATTAAATTAAGCTTTATTCATTGTTTCAAACATATATTGTTGCTGAAAGGAGTCCGTGAAAGAAGTGAAAAATCTAACCTTACTGTGTCATTTCAGTTGAAGGTTGGCACACCTTATTCAGACTCCAATGAAAATGGTCAAAGGTCAAAAAGATCACTGTAGTCTATTCCACATTCTGTACACTCGGTATGAGCTGCTGCCCGGCACACTTTCTTCTTCTACTACAACATCCAGCTGCCTCCTTTAGAGGTTGTCACAGCAGATCGATTGTCTCCAGCTCATATCACCCCATCCCTAAGCATCTTCTTCTTTATTATATTCATGAGCCTCCTCTGACATCTTCCTCTTTTCCCTCTGCCTGCCAGCTCCATCTTCAACAGCCTTTATCCAATATATCCACTATCCTTCCTTTACACATGTACAAACCATCTCAGCTTTGCTTCCCTAACTTTATCTCCAAGTGCTCGAAATGTACTCATTTCTAAACTTGTCCAATCTGGTCATCCCAGTGAAGATCTTTACATCTTCAGCTGAGCCTTCTGTCATTTTGTCAGTGCCACCATCTCCAATGTGTCAAGATTTTAACTTGTGATGGATGAGCGTATACTTGTGGGTCAGATGGAAAATAAATGCACTTGTCTTGATTTACAGAAATGTTGGTCTTAACATAATAGCACTTGCACTTTGATGTCTATCGTTTTGTTTTTTTCTTCTAGCTTGGTGAGTTGGGCAAGGGAGCTGGGAAAGGTGGTGGTGGAGGAGGCTCTGTGAGAGAGGCCGGAGGTGCATTTGGAAAGAGAGAAGTAGCGGAAGAGGAGCGATACTTCAGGTAAATATTCCCTGGGATTTTTATTTTTTCCCCACAACACTTTCACCCATTAACTTTTTTTTTTGTTTGTTTGTTTTTTCTGCTTGTAGGCAGAAGGAGAAGGAGCAGATGGAAGCACTAAGGAAGCATCATACGGAAGAGATTGAGCACCACAAAAAGGAGATTGAGCGTCTACAGAAGGAAATCGATCGCCACAAGGGCAAAATCAGGAAGCTTAAACATGACGACTGAACCTTGTTATTTCTCTTTAGGAGCCCAGACGTATCAAAAGGTTGATGGTTATTAGGCATTGATTTTTGTCCAGCTTATGTAAAGCTGAGGTCATGCTAACACTATAACTTCAAAAACAATAAAATAAAATGATTAATTTTCACATGTATCCAGAATTAATTGCCTCTCCTTTATTGCCTAACTTTTTTTTTTTTTACTTTGAGCTTTGATTTGTTTATTAGAAAAAGGAGGCTGATCCTGTATGTAGAAATGTGGCTCCCATTGGATTAAAGCGGTGCCAGTTATAGTTCATTCTCCGTGGTTGGATAGCTGATGGAGGGCTCGTTTTTTATCCCAGCGCTACCCGCTTAGTTTGAGTTGCAAAACCCTTTTGAGCTTGGCCCCGGTTATCGCCTGGTTTGGTTGGCGTTAAGCTCAGCTCACTTCATTCCTTATAAGCGGTAAGCATACGTCTTAAACTTACTATAAGCTTCAGGTTGTCCGATACGAGCACGCCCGGCCTGGCCTGTCAAAACGAACATACTCGGCGAGTTTTCGTCCACATCTCGCGATGGTTGCGAAGCAGTGGCGTTGTTCGGGCGAGCCGACGACGAGACCGTATCTGTCTGGAAATTTGTCTCGTGGGTTAGACTCAAACATATTCCGCGCATTTAGACACTATTTGTATGTCCGATAGGCTAGTCGTTTCACGTTTTAACACCCGTCGGAGTTAGTTTCCTGATTCGCTCTGGTGAGTTTCGCTAACTGTGTGTTTGCCCGTGTACGGGGCGCGCGTGTACTTGATTTGCGAAAGGTGTCTTTCTGCACGGCGAGGCCTTCGTATGTAAGCTCGTTAGCCAGCTAGAAAGCTAACCATCATCATTGTTTTGTTTTTTTTCCGCAAGGGCAAGATAACGTATTCGGGGATCCCTCTTGACTAAAAATGCTTTAAAATCTATCCAGCGTTGTCTACTTGTAGAAGAGGGTGTTGTGGGGTCAAAAACATATGGACGTAAATACATAAAAAGAAAAGCATTCATTTCGCTGGCTTGCAAGCTGCATGTGAAGGGGGGCGGGACTGAGGCTGTACGTGTTTTCTTGAAGTGACCAGGTTGTTGTTGTGCAGTACATTATAACGTGTCGACGCCAATTATAGTTATTAAATTACATTTATAAGAACTACAGTTCCAGTGAGTCCTATTTTTTTTGTTGTTGTAATTAAATAGAAAACATAAAGCTTGTAAATCAACTTGATTAACTGCACTTGAGTTGATGACATACATAAAGATTGAAATGTAGTTTAGGATCGTGGATCTTTTTATTGGTCTGATTTTAAGTAAAATAAACTCTTAAAAAGAACCATTAAAATGTATTTCTTTGCTTTGCTGCTGAAGGAGAATGGCTGCTGCTGAGGTAAACGGTAGTTCTGCCCCGGCAAAGGAGGAGGAAGAGCCTATGGATGTGACCACAACACACACAGAGAACTACCAGACCCTTCTTGATGCTGGGCTGCCCCAGAAAGTAGCTGAAAGTCTAGATAATATCTTCCAGACAGGTGAGTGGCTGTTTGTTTATTTCCACTAAAAGAATAATGTATAGCTGCTTTTCTGTAGCTGAGCCTGATGCTGAACGTCCATTGTACCCGTAGGCCTAGTGGCATACGTTGACCTGGATGAAAGGGCTATCGATGCACTGCGGGAATTCAATGAGGAGGGAGCGCTTACTGTGCTGCAGCAGTTCAAAGAGAGCGACCTGTCCCACGTACAGGTATCCACATAGGAGAAAATGAATAGACCCATGTCTATTTGCCCTTGACAGGAGTTTTAACTTGACACAAATTGTTGCAAATTGATTATCTCATTTGATTTTGTTTTTCATTGCAGAATAAAAGTGCTTTCCTTTGTGGAGTTATGAAAACCTACAGGCAGAGAGAAAAACAAGGAAGTAAGGTACAAGAGTCCACCAAGGGCCCAGATGAGGCAAAAATAAAGGTAAACAAAGTCATTTGGCTAAGCTCTTTTGTGTAGCGGGTCAGATTGAATGTCATATAAACACGCCTCTGCAGCTGCAGTTCAGTTAATGTTTGTTTTGTGTGTGTGTGTTTCAGGCCCTGTTGGAGCGCACAGGATACACCCTGGATGTCACTACAGGCCAGAGAAAATATGGGGGTCCTCCACCTGAGGATGTGTTCAAAGGCACTCATCCAGGCAGTGGAACTGAGGTAGAGAAGTGATTGTCAGATTAAAAAATTGTCTGTCATGATTTCCAAGGCTGGGTTTTATTATTTGAGTAAGATTGAGAAAATATAAGCTAAGTGTCATTCATAAAGACTAAAAGCGTAATGTTTTGCAAATCATTACGCTCTCTCACATTTCTTTTCCCTCTGTCCTCTCCTCAGGTTTTTGTTGGAAAAATCCCCAGGGATTTGTATGAAGATGAGCTGGTGCCGCTCTTTGAGTCTGCTGGTCCCATCTGGGACCTCAGGTTAATGATGGACCCTTTATCTGGTCAGAACAGAGGTTATGCCTTCATCACATACTGCAATAAGGATGATGCACAGAAGGCTGTGAAGCTTGTAAGTAATGTCGCGGGAAATATCAGTCCATATTTTAACAGCTTGAGGGGAAATAGACTTAAAGGTTTACTTATTAGAAAGTGAAATAACTTGTGCTTCACAGTATTTTCAGCTCATTTCACTCATTTGTTAACTTGTCTGGGGTTTTTTTGTTGTTGTTTTTTTACAGTGTGATAACCATGAAATCCGCCCTGGCAAGTACTTGGGAGTTTGTATATCTGTTGCAAACAATCGCCTGTTTGTCGGATCGATTCCAAAGAACAAAACAAGAGAAAGTATATTGGAAGACTTTGGCAAAGTGACAGGTTTGTTTCTAACATGCAGGTTTTTGTTTCTTAGAGACTCATTTAAACAAATTATTAGTGCTTAAAAATGATTGATAAACACACACAACAATGGTTGTGAAAGTCAGATGTTATTGTTTACCTCACAGAGGGTCTCCAAGAGGTGATATTGTATCATCAGCCGGATGACAAGAAAAAGAACCGTGGTTTCTGTTTCCTCGAGTATGAGGACCACAAGTCCGCGGCACAGGCTCGCCGTCGCCTGATGAGCGGCAAGGTCAAAGTGTGGGGGAACCCGGTCACTGTGGAGTGGGCTGACCCTGTAGCTGAACCAGACCCAGAGGTCATGGCTAAGGTTAGCGATTTTAGTGTCTCGTTGTTTAATACACATCAGGCATGCTCTGCATTCCAGTGCGACAAACATACTGTTTCCTCTGTTGTTACAGGTAAAGGTGCTCTTTGTGAGGAAGCTGGCAACAGCAGTGACTGAGGAGCTTCTTGAAAAGACCTTTTCCCAGTTTGGAAAGCTGGAACGAGTGAAGAAATTGAAAGACTACGCTTTTGTCCATTTTGAAGAGAGGGATGCTGCCGTAAAGGTGAGTTTCTCGTGCTTTGGCCAAACCTTTTTGCTTGTGTGACGATTCCGTGAGTTTCTTTTATGAGAAACTGATTGTTTTGTTTGATTAGGCAATGGAGGAGATGAATGGGAAGGAACTGGGAGGAGAAGAAATTGAGATTGTCTTGGCAAAGCCCCCAGATAAGAAGAGGAAAGAGCGCCAAGCAGCTCGGCAGACTACCAGAAATGCGGGGTGAGTCAGAGACATCTGACTGGTCAGCTGATGTCTTCTCATTTAAGGAATCAACTGCTTGAAGTGATATCTTCTTCTTTCCAGGTATGATGACTACTACTACTATCCACCTCCACGCATGCCTCCGCCGGGCCGAGGCAGGGGCCGTGGTGGCCGAGGGGGCTATGCCTATCCACCTGATTACTATGGCTATGATGACTACTACGATGACTACTATGGCTACGACTATCATGACTACCGTGGTGGCTATGAAGACCCTTACTACGGCTACGAAGACGTGTACACCATGAGGGGCCGTGGTACTCGTCCCAGCAGGGGAGGTCCACCTCCTCCCAGGGCTCGTGGAGCTCCACCGACACGAGGCCGGGGTGGCTACGCCCAAAGAGGGCCACCCCTCGGTGGTCCGAGGGGTGGCCGAGGAGGGCGAGGTGCCCCTTTCCAGCCTCAGAGGGGCCGCGGTCCTCGCGGGGCCAGGGGCAATCGCGGCGGCAACGTCGGCGGAAAGAGGAAGGCAGACGTGTTTAACCAGCCTGACTCCAAGCGCCGCCAGACCAACAACCAACAGAACTGGGGGTCCCAGCCCATCGCCCAGCAGCCCCTGCAGCAAGGGGCCGACTATTCTGGTAACTATGGTTACAGTAATGACACCATGGAGTTTTCACAGGATTCTTATGGGCAGCAGTGGAAGTAGATGCACCAAAAGGTATTTGGCAACAAAAAAAAAAGGAAAGGGGAAAAAAAAAAAAGAAAAACAACAATAAAAAAACAAAAAAACAAACAGGAGATTGGCCACAATGTTTTTGATTGACTTTTTATTCTTCATCCCTCGTGGAAAAAAAAAATCTGTATATATCTCAGAAAAAATAAAAATAAATGGACAGACCCCAGAATTGGCTCAAGATGATTGGCTGGAAAGCCTTTTGGCTGAAGAAATGAACGTAACCGTTGTGGTGAATCATTTCCTACTCCTACGGTTACATTGGGACACGTGTCTTTAAAAAAAAGAAAAACACTCAAAACGCTTTTATTGTTACTTTTTGTTCCTGGTTCTTTTTAAAGCCAACAATGAACATTTACACACACAAAAAGAAAAAAAGTGGACATTTCCTTCTCAAAAAGTCTGAGACAACATTAAATAATGAATATTGCCTTGCAGGAAGTTTCTGTCCATGCCCCTTTCCTCCCTTCTCCTTCTTGTACTCCCTTTATTTGTGGTTTCTCATAGTTGCTTTAGGGACTTGCTTGTAAATAAATGCATATGGTAGAGCTTTCTTACGTCATTTTTTTTCTTTTTGTTTTTGCAACGGTGGAGAAAAGAATCCACAGGAAGGAAGAAAAATCAAAGTTTTGTAATGTTTAAAGTGTATGCCTAGCGTTTCTAGATATAGACAAATTGTGTTTTTTTTTGTTTTTTAAACTGATACCATAACTTCCTATGTTTTCTTTAAACTTGCCCAGTAGAATTTGGTTTGGCTTACCTTAAGAGCCATAGCAGTTTGTTCTCTGATGTTCTTTGTATTTATAACTTTTACGTTTGTTCCGTTTCAATAAAACTCAGCTGAGCATCAGTCAATTGTCAGATACTCAAATTCCGTGTTGTCATTCAGTATTTGATTTGATTTTTAATCTCAATTCTCTCATTTGGATGAATATCTTCTTTTCCAAGTCAAATTCTTTCTCTCTCAAAGGTTAATCACAAACGACTGAAATTGCGCAGTCAGACAACGGGACGAGAATTCGAAAGGTGTCTGGATGATACAAAAGCAGGATTTATTTTTTGTATTCCTTATTCTTCAGACTGCAGTAATATCCTGCACACTGAATTCATGTTGTGAATGTTGCAGCAACAATTAAAGGGACCGCACTGTAAATTGGACTCCTTGCAATTACCCAAGATTGTTCCTGTCTGTCAAACGGTGAACAACCAGCCTACCGTCACTTAATGCTGTCGTTTATGACGAGAAGATGGAAAGCAATTTACTCTTGTGAAAATAATGCAAATGCTTATTGAGCTTTTTATTGACCGGCATAACATTTGATAATTGGAGAGCAGTGGGTAGCTAACACAGGATTTTCACAGGTGTAAATTTCCAGCACCTCCCAGCTCCAGTGTTTTGTTTTTTCCCCTCTTTTTTAGGGCTGACATCTTATGAAACTTAAGCTCTGTATCCACAAACTTTCAAGACAAGGACAGTTTTGGATAATAGTAAAAAAAAATTATTCACACGTCTGTGGTCCTGATACTGACCTCCTTACAACATTTAGAGCAACACATTTGACTTGGAATGGATTTTCTGCAGCTAATTTCCAAAATCTGCACATCATCTCATCGTCTTTTTCTCTCCTTTTGAAGACCCCAAGGATCTGACCATCCAAATTTCCTAAAACGCACCTCCAGCTATAGCAAGCGATCACCTGTCAGGATCTGTTTAGAAAACTTTTTGGTTTTGTTTTGTTTCTTTTAGCCATTGCGTTTTGGTACCATGGTGTCATTGTATTTTGTTTCATGTGTCTGTCCTCTTATTCCAACCTGCCTAGGTGGAGAAGCATTGAGAGCGGCACCGCTAGAATGAGGAACTCACCTGAACGGTACTCAAGGGTGAGCTAGCCTTGCACAGAGTACTGTCTCCTCTTCTCTAGCTAATTGTAATCACTGGAGAAACACTAGCCCTAATTATACACTATGCTTTTATCATCTCTTTGCTAATATACTCTGCTGTGAAGCAACGTTTTTTTCCTTGGGGTTTTTTTTTGGGGGGGGGTGATTTTTTTTTTCCCTCTCTCCTCTTTTCCAGGCTATCAAGAAGAATCAAAAATTGATTGAAGAATCATTGAAAATAATTCAAACCGGCAGATTTCTGGGGTTTAGAGAACATGGGAATAATGGGTACTTCATTCACAATTATAATGCCAATTTTTCATCTAAAGGTCAATGGGAGTCGTGCACAAATTTAGACTGATTAAACAGCCAGAAGGGCAGCCAGCCAAGGAATTTGGTAAGCATTTGTAAACCTAAAACTATGCAAAACACCTGCTGCCTGTCTCAGCTTACTGCACCAAAATCGTCTGTTGTCTCCACGCGTTCTTTAATTTGGGCGGTGGGTGCGGAATGGACACTTTTCCCCTTCTGTGCCACTAGAGGTAGCAGCTCTGCACCAGCACTACCAGTGGTGCATTGTTTCCTTTGCCGATGCTGCACTTATTGGCTATTTTCAGAGCTGAATAGGCGTTAATTAGGGGGTCCATATTTACTAGAGAAGTTACTTTTCATATTTATTCAATCCGATTTTGAGCTGCTAACTTAAACATCTGTGAGACTGGCCTGTGTTTAAACAAAGGCTGCACCTCTAAACTGATGTCTTTACCCTTTACCGCCACAAGATGGCAGTAGAAGGGCTACATTATTTGTGTTTCACAGGTAAGCCGGGGATGTAGAGCTAGTTACTGACACACACACATTTTGATTAAAGTGCCTGCAAATGCTGGAGTTTCCATAACAGCCTCTCATGTCAGAACTGTGTCTTTATATGTTGCCTCTTGTCACCAGGCAGTAAAGGAGCTGCCCCCATCCATGTGAATGGGTTCACAGAAATGGAAAGGACTGATTGGTAAGATTGTTCATTATCAAGTAATACTCAGAAAGACTAAATATGATTTTATTTTTAGGTTAGTTCATGTTTTAAAACAATGTTGGATGTCCTAGTTCTAAACTTCCCAGAGCAAGTAAGTCTTATAAGGTTTTCAGAATAAAAATATATAAAGTTATGGATTTTGTGGATTTTATAAATGAGCATCATATGACTCTCTACAGTCATGTGCAGGGTTTGATGGTTAATGTTTAAAAATCGATCAACCAGGATTTCTTTTAGCAAGCTTTTTGTGTATGTTTTCTAGGGACTGCTATCCCTGATGATAAACCACATACCACAAGATGAGGAAGGTGCAGAGGTCCAGAACCCAGGGGGGCACATCAGCAACGTTAGGCTCAACAGAAGTCAGAGGTCAGAAAGTTTTGCAATGTAGTAATCGTATAAATGATCCCCTTCTCAGCTGGAGCAATGTTATGCATCAGAGATGTGAAGATTTTATAGCGCTTGATTTTTAAATAAATAAAAACATGTCCTTTTTTTTTTTGTCTTTGGACAGAAATCGAAGAAAAACATGGACACGTGACCCACAGCTCCATCAGAGGCCTTTGCCTCCGCCTAGTAGGCTGCCACTGCTCATTCATCCAGCTCAAAGATTTACTGCTGGAAGAGGGAACGATCTATCTATCGGACTGTTTGATACATGTTATTGCACAAATAAATTTGCAGCTTTGTGTGTGCTTATTTTTTTTTTCTTTTGTATAAACACAATATTATACCACTACAGCATTTCTGAGATCTCATTAGAAATCACTGAGTGCAGTAAACTATAGCTGACTGTCTCATAGCACATTTCCAGTCAAACCAGTGGAAATGGGCAATAGGAGAGTGGGCATATGTGGCTCACTGTAGACCTCAGCCAATCAAGCTGACTGTACTCAACTCACTGCCTCACATCACTCAATACAAATAAATACAGGAAGCACAAAGTTGACCTAAGCAAAGGAAATTTCATGCCTTAAACGTTTAAATAAATATTGCATAAGTCACACAGGATGTCTGCACCATGGCACTTATAAGTATATATTCTTAGACGTTCAGTCAAGTGTGATAGTGAATACACAGACGCAGATGTGAACGACAGTGGGGGCTGGTTTGGGGAAAAAGGCTGAAGACGTGTTACAACAGAGTCCTGCACCAGCTTAAAGATTTTAGCAAAGCGTCGTGAAGGAGTGACCGCTGTTTGTAATCCTTCGTCGCTAAATGTTAAATGTTGGTTAAAAAAACGTCGAAGCGGAAGTAACGTCTTCTAGTTCCTGTCATGTCAAAACATGCCAATGCAATGTTTTTAATTTGAAAAACTTTAAACCTTTCTAACCCAGCACATTCATTCACTTTCATATTTTTTCAATATTTAAAATTGTTATAAAAACGTGTGCTTACGTTACGTAGGTTTATTTTTAATCTGTAGTCACGTGATGTCACGACGTCACATGTAAACCCGAGCGAAGATGGCGACCGCCGAGGGAGAGTCTTCTGTGCATAGTGTGTCGGATGAATTATTTCAAAATTTTTACACTGAGGTAAAGCAGATTTAAAGTTAGATTATTCACTTTAAAGTATCGGTTGCTGTCTTTGCACCGACTGAAGCCGGTTATTGAGCGATTACCGCGTTTATCACCTACGAGGCCTGCTGACATCAGCTAACGAGAAGCTAACGTTAAACGAGATGTTTGTGAGCAGCTTCAGTCTTCTGTTAGTACGAAAAAAAACACCGTTATTTGGGCTTATTTTATTCATTATTATCAGCAGCTAGTACTACAAGCCATGTTACCTAAACTATGGCTTGTTTAATAGGAGTTACTGCGTTGGCTGGCCTTTTATAAAGCTGCTGCTGGGTCAGTGTATATGTTGACCTGTATTTATTTAATGAGGATAGCTTCCTGAAAAGATTAAGAGCATCCTTCTCGTTCTTCGTATTTCATTCTTCGGAGCTGGCTGACATAATTCAGAAGAAAATAAAAATGTATTCCGGAAGCCTTGTTTGCCAGGACCTTTGCATTGTGACGTTTTTCACTGTTTTGTTTTGCTGCTATTCATTTTTAAAGGTGAAGCAGATTGAGAAGCGAGACTCTGTGTTAACCTCCAAGCAGCAGATTGACAGACTGCTCAGACCTGGCGCATCATACTTCAATCTCAACCCTTTTGAGGTAACCTAGTGCACTAATGGTGTCGTTTTTGTTTTGTTTTTAATTATTATTATTATCATTGTTAAATATGCTACCTATCAATGTATGTATGTAGCATTTTTAATAATTCATTCACACTTCACTTCTAATTAACAAAGGAACTGCAATTATGTATATAGCTTTTAGGAACTTATGTAATTGATATTTATACTTGATGCGTCCTTATTATTTTCATATCTGTATCTTATTAGACCTAAATCAAAGAAGAGGAAACAATTTTAAAATGTACCCTTTTAAATGTTGTGCTGATCTTAGGAATCAAATCATGTTTTTTTAAGTGACAGTCTTCCTTCATTCTGTGCAATAATTTTGACTCCTCATATGGGTATCGTTTAGGTTTTATCCGATACCGGTGCCAAATCGGTACTTTTGAAACGGTGCCGGTGCTCAAACGGTGCTCAAACCGGTGCTTAAAGAATGGAGAACACAAAATTGGTCCAAAAACCTCTCATGTTCAGCTGTTTTTTGTAAAAAGATAACAATGTTAGCCTTTTCTGCAGCTATGGGGCATATATGGTATCACTCTTGGCTGGAAGCAGTGCTTAAACAATGGAAAAAACACAAACTTTGTCCTAAACCTCTCATGTTTAACTGTTTTCCACTTTTTCTTTGGTCATTTTAGCCTTTTTGGCCAGGGTGAAGGGAGTATCTGCCATCAAACAAGAAGACAGCCGCATGTAGCTATGATGATGTTTGCTAGTTCACCTTACATGCATTAATGTAATAACGTGGTTAGCCTACTCAACGTAAATTAGCTACTCACGCAGAGAAGAACGGCTGCTGCTGCATCATCATCCTCATCATTTCTGCTACACTGGCAGGGCTAGGGGCCAGGACTCTCCTCTTCGTTTTTGGGGGATGTTGCATAACAGGCAACCCACCCGCAGTAGATGTGCTCGGTGTGAGGTCTCGCAGCAAGCTATCAAATACGGCGCATTTCTGGGCTTTTAAAAAAAACGCTATGCGTCGCCAGGTGTTTCATCGGATTCGAGGTGTTACCTCCTTTGACAGTATCACAGTATCAGCTTAAAGCACTTGTTGCTGCTGAGTTTGCATCTTTTGCTGTGAAGTACAGCCAGACTTTTGACCGCTTCGCCTTGGAGCATTTTTAATCTGTAGCTCTGCTCTAAAAGAACGTACGTACCTGGCCCCGCCTACTATCCTCGGAAACGTAAAATGATTGGCTAGAATCTAAAGTGTATCACAGCTCAGGAAAAAAAAGCACCGAAATAAAGCACCGAAATGTGCGCTGCTTTTCGGTCTGGTTACTACCGTTTATGTCAGAACCGGTGCCATCATGGCACCTGACACCGGTACCCATCCCTACTCCTCATACTACTCACTCAGCCAATCTGAAAGGATCTGTGATTGACCAAAGTTACCTGTCAGGGACAAACTTTTCCAAAGCCTAATAACAGAACCCAAGAGTTATTATTATATTATTCAAAGCTCTAACTGCTTATGATGTATCAATGCTATGAGATCCAACACTATTAACAATTGTCGATTTCAAATCTCTTTCAGGTTCTGCAAATTGATCCAGAGGCAACAGATGATGAACTGAAGAAAAGGTTTCGGGCGGTAAGGAAGTGTTATGGAGGAGAGGCTTTTCAGTGACCTCATTTTTACAGACATGGCGTGTTCTTTGCAATGCTGTTTTTGTTTTTAATTTTAAATCTCTTTTACTTGGCAGTTGTCCATTTTGGTCCATCCAGACAAAAATCAGGGCGATCCAGACAGAGCACAGAAAGCGTTCGAAGGTAACAATTCTCACGTAACAATTCTCACGTAACAATTCTCACGTAACAATTCTCACGTAACAATTCTCACGTACATCTCTTATGGCTTGTATTTTTGTACAGCTCCAAGTTAATTAAAATGGGTTTTATTGGCTATTTGGACACTCAATAAACTCTGGAGGAAAAAAACAAACAAAACCTAAAAACCAGTTTCTGTCTCATTGTTGTTTTTGTACAAATTAAAATAAAAAGTATGAAAACAACAATTTGACTTTGTTAGAGCCTCTGTGATACAGTTATCTGCTAATCTTACATTAAAACCACTCTTTAATCGAGCCTTAATGTTATACTATGTCCAGCTGTGGACAAGGCATACAAACTCTTACTGGATCCAGAGCAGAAGAAGAGAGCCTTAGATGTGATTCATGCAGGAAAGGAATATGTGGAGCATATGGTGAGTATTTTCCACCATGAAAACAAAATATCTAATGCCCCCCCCCCTTCCATGTTACTCAGCTTCATTATCTGGACTTTTTAAATGCGATGTTTCTTTATATTTTAAAGGTAAAAGAGAAAAGGAAACAGTTGAAGAAAGAAGGGAAACCACTGGATGTAGAGGAAGATGATCCCGAAATGGTAAGTTCTACTGAGGTACTGAGACTTTTATTATAATTTTATTGTAGTTTCAGAACCACAATGTTTTAAAGGGAAGGCATGTGAAGAATAGTTCTGTCTTTATCACAAATTACTGGACTAGCAAGATGTAAAAAAGAGGGATCGTGCTATCACTGCAAACCAATAGCAGAATTTTGCTCCAGGAAAGACATTGAAGTAAGTTGTCCCGAATTCAATAACTGTTGAGCAATGAAACAAACCAACAGAGGCCCAGAAGAGTGCAATCAAACAATGAGTTTATTAAAACACACACACACTCCTTCCTCAGGAGTAATCAGCATCACATCATCACACACAGCATCACACATAGATTGTGAAGACATATCTGTTGTGTAAAACCTTCTTTAATAGACTGAGCATCAACTCTGAATGAGCACAAACATGCAATGTGTATAAAATAATTATAGCTGCACCTGTAATAAAAAGGTTAATATGGTGGCAATAGCTTTAATAAACATCTTTAATGCAATATCAATGCTGTAGGATATATTATTAATGCAATGTTAATAGTGCAGGTTATATTGTAGCAGTAAAATAATTTCTGTACCTCCACAAAGTGTAACTTAATAGGGGGGAGAGGCTTTTAAAAAACAATATTTTGGGGCAAACTCTGTAAACCTTTATTTTTTTAAATCTGATTTGACTGATGCGTGTAGTTTTTATGTGGCAGACACCATTGAAATTAAAGTACTTTGAATAAATGCCCAGCAGTGTTACCAAAAGGCAGTGAAGGTGAATGAGTTTAAATACCTGTGATCATCTCTCTAAAGTAACAGAATGGTGAAGAGCAGAGTAGAGGGGGTGATTTGTGACAGAAGGATGAAAAGGAAGGCTTTCAAGATGGTAGCGAGATCTCCTATGATGTATGAAAAAGCACTGACAAAAAGACGTCCAGAGGACCAGAATAGACAGGATTAGAAACAAGTAGATCAGAGGGACTGCTCGGGTTGAGCAGTTTGGAGACAAAATTAGAGAGGCAAGGCTCAGTTGGTTTGGACATGTGCAGAGGAGGGGTAGTAAATATACTGGATTGAAGATAGAGTTGCCAGACAAGAGGAAAGAGGGATGAGCACAGAAAAGATTTGTGGAAGTAGTAAAGGCTTTATGTGACAGAGGATAATAGGAATAGAGGTAAATGATCCACTGTGGTGATTGCTAAAGGGAACAGCTGAATTCACAGTTAGTTCAGAATTGCCAGTTAACCTAACCTAACATGCAAACGTGTGTCAGCCCTGGTTTAGTACTTGGGACCTTCTTGCTATGAGGAAACAGAGCTAACTACTGTACTTCATATCATACATGTGTTTTTTATTTTTCTTTCTCTCCAGTTCAAGCAAGCAGTGTACAAACAGACCATGAAGCTGTTTGCAGAGCTGGAAATCAAGAGGAAGGAGAGGGAAGCAAAGGAAATGCATGAAAGGTAATTGGTGGGATTTTTAAGAACTTGGTTGCTGCTCTGTATGACTAAAACATTCACCCGTCTTTACCACTTGGTAGTTTGTTTTAGAAACAGAGAATGTTTTCATTCATAACATCCTGGATTTCTCTCAATTTACCAGGAAAAGGGCGAGAGAAGAAGAAATCGAGGCAGCAGAGAACGCTAAGCGACAGCGAGAGTGGCAGAAAAACTTTGAGGTGCGTTCTTGTATGCCAGTTGTTACGCATCTGTAAATAGAAACACGATGACTGTGCTATTTGGATTTCTTAATTGAAAAATAATATTTTTATTTTCTTCAGGAAACAAGAGATGGACGTGTGGACAGCTGGAGGAACTTCCAGGCCAAAGGAAAAAGCAAAGAGAAGAAGAACAGGTCCTTCCTAAAGCCCCCTAAAGTCAAAATGGAACAGAGGGAATGATGTAAAACTGGACTTCACTCAATTAAAATCCACTGTTTAAATGAAAGAAACACTTCTGTGTATCCTCTCCTTGTTGTCTGCGGTCATCTGTGTAATCATCATCACAGCCATCAGCATTGTGTCGTAGGACAACATCCCGACCCCGACAGCTGTAGTTTTGTACTTGGCTTTTCTAATGTACATATTTATGATGTGGAGCTGGAGATCATACCTGCCCCGGTTAATAAAGAAATGATGCATCTTCCATTCGTGTGACAGAGGGTGGAAGCATGGTTTGCTGTCATTTGCTTTCTTGTTCTCCTTGTTTTGTTTTGTTTTTTTTAATAAATCTTTGTCTTAACAAGCCTACTTCACTGTGGTCTCCAAAACTGTTAAAACTTGCAGAAAAAAGTGAAATAACTAGATTATGGGATACAGATATCTATAAGCTATGTGGCATCTATGCTTCTTATTATCTGGCTGTCATTGATTCCTTTTATAAGTAGAATATCAACTGGATACAAATTTACAAATGTGTTGTTGGAACAGGCATTCTTGTTGAGAACCTACATCTCTGTGCATGTCTTCTGTGTATTCATAATGTAAATTTAAGCAGCTCACCATTTTACTCCCAAGTTATGTTTTGGAGAAAATAAATTTTAAAAAACTGCTTAGTTTCTGTTTTGGCTTTTTTTAAGGACAAAATGGAAAAAAAAAAAAAGACTGAAAATGAACAGTGGGAAAATAAAATAAAAGTTTAATAATTCAGTTTTCTTTGCAGTTGTACTCAGCAAACACCATGAAACAATGGTGATAGCTACAGTCTATAATTTGTAAAACAAACATCAAAATAAGCAGCATTGTCTGCCAAAGGAAAAAGAATACTTCAGAAAATACAGAGTAATATAAATATGTTTCCCGTCCTCTTGGGTTACATGGTGAGAGCCAGTCTCATTTTCTCCATCCAGTCTCATTTGCAGAAAAATTTGCAAAAGCATGCGGCTCATTGGAAAAAATCTAAACGTCTTTACACGTCCCATCTCACATGACTTTGCACTGATCTCCTGCACCAGCACCAGGCGCCGTCACAGCAGGGGATGCATTAGTAGCCCCCATCAATCCATCCAGACTGAGGCCCTGAAAGGCTCCAAAGAAGGAGTCGTCCTTGGCCGGGGTCGGTTTCCTCCTGGAAGCGTTGCTCTGCTGCAGGCACAGGTGTTCAGGTTAGATAATGACACGCTGATAAGTCAGTAGCATTTGAATGTAGCTGCTCACTTACCCGTGGGAGGCAGTGATGGCTCCTGAAGTGAGTTTTCCTGACAGCCCTTTCAGCGTTCTTCTTGGCTAGCATGGCTTGCTGACGTTTCCTTTGGCAAACAGCAAAGAGCAACATTTAGCGTGGCACATGGGCGAGGAGCTTATTCATGTGAGGAAGAGTCTTATCCTCACTAAGCCAGGTCTGTCTGGCCAAGAGTCTTAGCTTGATGACAAGATAGTAACTGAAAATCATTGTTTTCTTAAAATACAACAGCAACTCTAACTCCTCTTTATTGTATTGCAAAGAAAGCTAAAAGTGATCGTGAAAAACTCCACACACCCTGGCAAAACCACATTAAAAACTGAAATTCAATCAATCACATGAATGCTTCTGTTTAATTTATTTATTTATTTTTACCTTTCCCTCTTCAGTTCATCCTGGTAAGCTCTGAGCCAGGAGTCTGGCACTTTTTGGCTGTTGCAGGGAACGCTTCTCCTCCTGCTGAAGCTCCTCCTGCGGGTGAAGCTGCTTCTGCGGACAGACTGGCTCCTCCCGGCGCCCCTCTTGGCGGTGCTTTTCCCCGACACACAGCTGGTGAACTGCTTCAGGGGAGCGCCCAGTGACATTAAGGAATCCATTTGCAGTGTTTGTAGATGTCGCTTGATTTATCAGGTAGACTTTTCCGAGTATTTAATAAGGCAATATCAGCATGAAGGTGCACCTCTTTTTTTGAGATAAATATTCAGCAGAAGTGAGGCTTTTATTGGAGACTGTAATCTGCAAATAAAAAGTACAAGCAGAGAAAACTTTAATACCTCTATATTGAAATTTAAAAAAAAAAAAGAAAAAAGAAAAAGAAAAAGAATACTATCCATCCTTTATTTGGAAAAATCTTTGTCTGTGTCCATCAAAAAGAAACACCCTAAAGTCACAATTTTACAAAACATGTTGCACATGGTTTAAAGAAACAATGACTGACCTTTATGCGTTCTCCTGTAGACACAATGGGCTGATGGTATCATTTGTCAAAGCTGTAAAGCAAAGGATCCATTTAATGCTCTGCTGCCAGCACTTCAGCTTGTGTACCTGTAGACACCTCCGCTCCGCAGCGCTCTGCTCTTATGTGGATTTGACTGATGACCTTGCAGGTCTCCAAATTGGATTAACTGAGGACGCAACAGTCGCTTATCTCATTAACAGCAGAGTAGCTGCAAACAAATCTGCACATGCAAACAGATGCTTAAAAAATTTACATCCAGGGGACTGACGACGACTAAGCTACACTTAGTTGAAAATTTTCATTGTCAATTTTAGCAGCTGATGAAATTATTTGGCAACAGGGTCAGAGGAAGCCTGACAGATGGGAGCTGATCAAGTGGAAGGCGGAGGATGACGCTTTTATGACGCACAGAGGACGACTTCTACCCAAAGACGAGACAGTTTCATTGACTGGAAGGATCAATTTCATTCACAGATTCGCTTCATTCACAGTGAACTCAGACAAATTCAGGCCTAGAGAGAAACAGCATTCACAGTGTCTGAAATCCCAAACCATGCACTACATACTCAATATTTTTACTACTGTTCATGTCACTTAACCATTAACACGTGTTAATGGTTATCCAACAACCTGTGCGAGACCAAGCAATCATTAACAAATTGGCACCTTATTTTTAAACACTATAAAGATTTACCATAAAGATTGAGCTGCCAGCTGTGCCTCTTAAATCCTGTTACTGCTGCACTGCTTTTATAGATTTATACGCTAGTCTAGTATCCAGTGCCACATACTCTAATATTTACCTGGAAATGGTATGCATTTAAAGTACTGCTACACACTGCAATTATATACACATATTAAGGGTAAGACTCTCATTATTGAAGCATACTAAATACTATATTAGTGTGGAATTTCAGACAGTCTCAGCCTGCCCACACCCACACCACTATGAATCACCTGTGTTTGATGCTACAAGAGTGCATTTCTACCATACAGATTATTTCCATTCTGCATATGAAGGTTTTTACATTTAACACAAAGAACTGGACATTCCTCAGGTTGTTAGAAAACGTGAGAAAATGACCAGAAAACCTACATCCCACATCTTTGTATGTCAGTCAAGCACAGTTTCAATTAAACAGATTCAGTTTTATCATTTTCTCTTAAGGTTAATGCATAGCAGGGTTTCTATTCGGTCTGCTGTTGTTTGAGAAAGAATGGGGACAGCGAGGTTAATAAAAGTACTAATAAAAGTACTGACAGGTGGGGAAGTCTACATGACGATCCATCTATACACCTGTTGCAACAGATCTTGTGCTCAGCTCTCTTCTGCTCCTCAGGAGGTGACAGCTGAGCGTAGACTTAAAAGGGTAATGACAGAGAGATTAGTTAACAGGATAGGACTGGTGGAGGAAAAACATCCGACAGTCGCTGCCAAAAAACCCTGTCATTAGGGATTTTTTATTTTTATTTTATCAGTGTATGCAAAATGCCTAAAACTATTAAACAGTTAAGATACTTGGAAACCAGGATGAAAATTATCCCATTTTAAAAAAAAGAATACACTTAAAAAGACCCTGACTCTAGTGATAGTCTAAAGTGTGGCTGATGATCCAGAGAAGAGTGCCCCAGAATAATTTGCTATAAAATCAGACTTCAGTAATCTGAAAATGCAGGTGGTAAAATGTGCAAATGATAAAATCTGATATGAATGAATCGCATGCATCTCAATTAAGATGAAAGCTTTTTTTAGTGCCAGTGGAATCCAAGAGACAGTTTGCAGTAAAAATGTGAAAGATTTAAAGAAATTACTTCAAATTAGAAAATAATACTCACCATTTTCCTTTTGTTCACTCAAGCATCCAAAGACCTGTGTGACAGCTACGCAGGTCATCCAGCAGAGGCATCGCTGAGGTAAGAAACAGAAATGGTAACCACCTTTAATTTTATCACAGGCCCAAACGGACACAGCGGAAACCAGAAGCCTTTGGCAAGGAGGACTTTAATTCTACACAATAATACATATATACAGTTTTATACGCTTTAATTTCATACAAAAACAAGTCATGTACAGGTTGGCGGTGGGGACTATGACCTAGAAGAACTCATAATAAATACCATCAACAGGGGCTGTGTGCTTAACCTCGATAGAAAGACGTCAGGTCTAAAAATGTCAAACATGGAAAAGGCAGTTATTGGAGTTTGAATGAGTGGGAATGTTCCCACAACTAATGCTTACGTAAACCACTGAGCAAAACATAAACGCGTCGCCCACTCCATCCAACAGACACACACTCTCACACCCAGAAATCATTGCATGACAACATATTTATCATATAAGAGAGGCAGCAAAGACCCATGTAGGGGGAGTGTCCCGTCATTATTATCTTCTTACATTACTGGTGAATAGTAATAAAACCACTAATTTATGGCAGATTCTCCATATAGGGGACATTTCTTTTATAAAACAAGAAGTCTATGTGCAAGTCTTTAATTAACAACGTAGACAAGAAGTTGAGACACTTGCCTCTGCCACAGATGTTTGCAATACTTTCCAATTTGAATGATCAGATGTTTGTATAACAGAATCTCTTCTCCATGTCTCCTTTTTTTAACCCTTTCCTTTCACTTCAGAATCGGAAGACTTTTTCATCTCCAAAGCTGATTCTTTTTTTGATGACAGACTCTGGTAGCATTTCCTTATTTTCTTTACATGCTGGTTAAAATAACAGGTAAACAGAAAGAAGGGTGGAAGGTGTTTCAGAAGTCTAAAGGAAGACAGGAGCTGCATAGTGGGCTACTTTGGATACAAACAATCTTCCATTTAAAGAATTTTTTTTTTGCCTCTGCCGAGGTGAGAACTAGAAAAGACTTCACTCTTTCCCCCACATCTTCTGTGGCTTATTTTTAGTCTCTGCTGCAAAAACATGCCTCTTGTGGCTACAGAGATTGACGCCAGAGGAGCGAGAAGTTAAGGTGTCCATGCTTTAATGACAGATGAGGCCCCAATTTATTCAACAGTTCCCACTGCTCCACACAGAAAGGACTGTAAACCCTTCATCATTCAGTCTTTGGAGGGTTGTGGGTCACCGGCTGATGTCCCGGTTGCCCTCCCAGCTCTTGGTGCCTGCAGCCTCACTGATCCCTAAGTTCTCAAAGAAAGGGTGTTTTAGAGAGTCAGCCAGTGCAAGCCTCTTGGAGGGCTCATACTCCAACATGCTTTCGATGAGGTCAAACAGCTGGTGGTGCTCTTCCGCCTCGGACAGCAGATATCGCTGAAAGAAGGGGGAAAAAAAAAAAAAAAAGTGGAAATTAGTGGCAATAAAAAAAAAACAAAAAAAACTCCAACATGAAATACAAGAAACATCTTTTGCATCATACAGGGAACTTTTCATCCCCGCTAATCATCAAATTCATGCCCTTCTCACTCACTCCACTTACCCGTAATGGTTTGCAGTTTTCTCTAACATATTTTCCCGCTGAGGAGCTCTCATCCCAATCAAGACGACCACGATAGAAGTATTTCTGCTTCCTGAGAGAGTAAGATTAGTTTAAAATGTTGCTTTAAAAATATGTTTGCATCAGGCACATTTTTAATTTTTTTCACATTTTTTCCTTTACTTGTGTTTTTATGTTCTCTTACCGAGTCTTACGAATCATCCTGGAGGGCACTGGTCCCAGGATTCTTTCCATCATAGCCAAATGTTCCCTGTTGTCATGAGTCTGCAAAAAATATAAGATAAGCAAGAATGAGAGAGGAAAAGACTCACACAGAAAGGAAGAGAGTGATTCAGTAGATAATCAGAATTTAACTACTTCAGGTTCTGCTGTTGCATATGGTGTCTTCGGTTTTAGAGAGCTCACCAGTGGCAAGGGTTCATTCTTACCAGCACTGAATAATTGTGCACTTGCATTTACAAGGACCCATTAGAGCTTTAACTAATAGTTGAGATTTCAGCAAATAAATCAGTTTACAAAAAGTAAATAAAAGGCGTATTCTGCTGAAACAAACTGTGTGCTGCCGTGTACCTGAAACAAAGTGAAGCCCAAGTAGTACTCAAACAGGATACAGCCAATGCTCCACACATCGCAGGGATGACTCCAGCCCAACTCTGAAACACAAAAGTATAAGTACACTAAACCACCACAGGATTACAAGAGGACAGGATTACCACCTTGTGATTGTAAGCTTCCCACAACCAGCCACGTTTTAATTTACATCCATTTCTGGCCAGATTCACTCAGTGTTTGCAGTGAAGACTGGGAATGAATTTAACAGGAAAGACAGACACACACACACACACTCTACTTCTAAGTTTAGGCTTAAAACTTTCCTTTTTGACAAAGCATATAACTTGGGGCTGGACCAGGTAACTGTGAATATTGAGTATCAAGCCTGGTTCTGCCAGAGATTTCTTCCTGTTTAAAGGGTTTCTTTTCCTCCAAAAGTTTTTCGTTTGCACCGTCACCAAAGTGTGTTTTTGGTCATTTGGTCATTAACAGACCAGAAATTATATATCAGCACAATCTCTGTTTCTATCTCCCACTTATAATGCCCGGGAACGCGTTTTTGAACAACATTATGTTACAGTCAGTTGATCTTTTATCATCAATTACTTATCAGTACATTATTGAGTTTAAAGCAACATGCACGCTGGAAAGGATTCGCATGCTTGCTGAAGTCACACAAAAAACATTCAAATGATCCAATTTGTTTTTGATGCGAGTCATTTTGCACTCCTTGCATCAACCAGCCCCAATTTATCTCAGCATAAACTGCTTTCAGTAGATACTTATTGTACCACTGATGATACACTTGTGTAAAAGTGAATATTTCACATACTTGAATATCACATATCATAAATCCCATTTGGTTTTTCCTAACAGAGCAATCAGCCTGTGCCTGTTTGAACCAGTTTCTTTTTTTTGTTTGTTTGCTTTTTAAAATAACTTCAAAGTAAACTTTTGGTCTTCCAGGCAAAGCATATTGTGTCAACTGAAAAAGCCACAGCTGCTCATGTGACTGGGCCAAAGATTTGTGGATATAATCACAAAACCATCTACTGCACATCTATAGCAGTTCTCACCTAATATGACCTCAGGGGCACGGTAATGCCGCGTGGACACAATGGTGCTGTGGTGCTCGTGGTCAAATGTGGCACTGCCAAAGTCCACCACGCGTACTGCCGTGCTCTTAACAGTCCGCTCCTCTCGTTTCTGGAAGATGACACGCATGTTTTTCAGAAATGCCCATCTTTCTCTCAGGAGTAAATCTGCAGTAGAGAAGCTTAGCTTTTTTTCCCCTTAAAATATAGCAACACGTGTTTTCATATCTATTCATCATAACTGCCAGCAATAAGTAACAGGAAAACTTTCCTCCACCTACAAGAAAGGTGATACATTTTCATAAAAAACTTTTTTTTTCTTCATATGTAAAATGAACAAAAAGTAGCCCTTGAGTTTTGGAACCAACCTGCCTATAAACAAATATGATTGTTGGGTTTTTGTTTTGTTTTTTTAAACTGTTTTCCTTGACTCTTACCTTCTCTACGTTGTAGGACATGGTGAAGTCTGAGTTGACAAACAGGATGTTCTCAGGCTTGAGGTCTGTATGTGTCAGCTTATTGTCGTGGAGAACTACGGAGGTAAAAAGCAACCTTCACTGATTAAGTTATTCAAAATTGTCAGTTACCTTGCATCACTTTATACAAACTGTCTACTCACCATTTATTACAACATATAATACTAATCATAATCATAATACTAATAGAAAAGCATCAGAAAAGCACTACTAGAATATCTCAGTAAAACCAACATGTGAACATTAACAACAGTAAACAAGTTAAAGGGCTTGGTGAGGATATGTAGCTTTTATTTACTAAAGACAAACTTGATAAGTCAGTGGGGCCAACACCCTTTTTGCTATGATGCCCTCCTGTGGTAAATGTCTACCACAAACACCAGATGATTTGAACAAGTATAATCATCAAGTCAAAAGCTAAATTACAGCTCAAGTTATAAGAATCAATGTCTTCCCTTTTCACAGTATTCCTAATTCCCATCCAATTTATCTGTAAATTTCACAGACCATAAAGATACAACTTACATTTCACAGCAAGACAGATTTGGTAGGCCATGTGTCTGACGTGACCAATTGAGTAGGGCAGGTAGTTGTTTTCCTTCAGAAAGTCAAAGGTGCTCAGAGCTAGCAGCTCAAAGGAGATGCACATGTGACCGTGGTAGTCAAACCAGTCATACATCTGTACACATAAACTGCAAGACAGACAAAGCATGGGAGGTTCAGGGAGTGAGCTGACAAATTCACTTCAATCACGTAAACCAGCTTAAACCTCGGAGTGAACACAAGACACTAAGCAATACAGGTTTAACCACAGTGCCGTATGACTGAGTCAGAACTCACAATTTGTTATCCGGATCCTTTTCATTGATCTTCTCCAGTACATTGATCTCCAAGCGAGCTGCTTCCTTGTATTTCTCCACATTCTTGATAATTTTCAGAGCAACGTGGGCTCCTCCCCTGTACAACACAAGAGATTATGAATACAAACACTAGCGTGATGAAACACACAACATGCCTTAATTTATTTATTTTTTTTTTTTTTATGTAATCCCTGTGTGCAGCCCTGAATGCTAAACACTAGCACTTGTTTATTTATAGATTCAAGACAGAGTAGTTAACCGCCTGGCTATGAGAGCAAAGGCTCCAATTATCAAGTTATTTATAGGACGGGGGAAAAAAAAAAAAAAAAAGACATTAACCCATAACGACGGTACATCACGATCTTAAGGCCCTGGGCATGAACATGAACTGATGGACATTTCTAGCTCTGTCACAAGAAAATAAATCTTCCGCAGGGAGAGAAGCACAAATAGCCCCTGTTCACATGAGGGGCTCACAGTCACAGGGGACTAAAATACTCTTGAGCTGATTTTCAGTATACATCACGATGTGGTGAACAGAACCAGAATTAAAATCAGAAATGTCTTTCTGCCATGTCTGGTGTGATAATGTGACTCTAAAATTACCGATAATGAACAATCTCAACAAGTTACTTGAAACATAAAACACCGTTTACCTTAATAAAAAAACTATGTAAATCCTTTGTGCTGTCATTGATTCACAGTGGTCCATAAATTGTATTGCACAGGTACAGCAACATTCATAACGATAATTTAAGACTAATTATTTTTCTTATGAAATTTCAGGCTGTTCATCATCACTATCTCTGAAGAAATTCTGGCCAATCAAAAGCCTACAAACAATAACACAGTGAGACATCAAAAAAAGAAAATAAAGGTGCACAGCCTGGAAATCAGTTTTCCTTATTCACATGTAAAAGTAGAAACAAACTTCTCAAAAACCTTCACCCTGGCATGAGTTTTTCAAAGGTCAAGGCAAAATGGATAGAAAAGGCTATTTTTTCCCAAAATACATGTGGCTGTAACCATAAATAAAAGACATTTAGAGAGGTAGTTTCTTTCTCCTACAGAGGGTTTTATGCAATCCTGGTACTGGTCCACCCTGCTCAATACAGGCTACATGTTGCCCATGTACTAAAAATGGGTTAAACACCTCTGATGTATCCTAATATCACAGCCCAAAACATGCACGGAGAGGCTTTTGTTTCTTGTTGCTGAGGAAACAACAATTCCCTAATGAACTACTAAGACACCCAGAGACTGAGAGCTCACACACCTGCGATGGTCAATGCACCGCATCACCCTGCCAAAGGTACCTTCCCCCAAAGTGCTGACAATCTCATCTGCAACACAGTACAAAGAGAAAAAAAAAAAACAAGAGAGGGAGAGCGGGGGGGGGGAAAAAAAGAAGCATTAGAAATGTGGACTCGTGCAGGAATACACAATGCAAAAGTGTAGACAGGCGAATCAGTGCTAGCGCCCATCCCCTTTCCGAATTGCTGCCTACTGAGTCTGGCAGGCTTAAAACGTTGCGCGTAAGGCTATGGTAACTAAATGGTGTTATGATGTAAACCAAAGGGGGCAAACATAAAGCACTCCCTTCCTTTGATTACCAATTTGCAGTCATTGAACCTATTAGAGTGCATCCTTTTGTCTTTGCCCAAAACGATACAAATGCTGTATAAACTTGAAACATTAAAAATAATATGTATTGTAATCATTCTCAAATGAAGCGTTTAATGTAAAGAAAGTCTTAAAATGTGCACTGGTTGTTCTAACCTTAGTGAAATTTGCTAAATAAGTGATGTGACCCTGAAACCATCCGAGTGAAAAACATCTAGCTTAAGTTACAGATTTAAAACTGTAACTGAGTTGTAAGCTAAAGCGCAACATAAACAAACAGCTGCAAATTGGATTTCTAAGTTTAGGAAAGTCAAATAACCTGTGAAACATAAAGGAAATGCTCCACAGCTTAAAAATCTTAGAAAAAAAAAAAAAAAAAAAAAAAAGCAGATTGTATCTAAAGTCCCTCCTAAAATCTTCAACATTCTTGCAATCCACCCTGCTATTTCAGCTAGAGCGAAGAGCATTCTAGCAAGGCATCATCATCATCATGATCATGATCATCAGGCACTCCCCATGTCATGTAAATGCTCTATGCTTTAATACTCATATGGAGAAGGGTTACGATAGAGTAGTGGCAGTGAGTACATCTCTCTTGCAGGACGTCCCCACTCCGACAGATCAGGTGCCCTTCCTCGTCGTCCCTCACACTCAGTGCACGCGTCCGGCTGTTGCTCCGCTGTATTCACACCCAAACGGCCATCAGCAGGTCACAACACGACCGAAGGGGACAGGGGGGGTTTCAGGGGCAGCCGCAGCCACGGCGTCAGGTGGCACAGGTGGATGAGGAGGGAGGAGGAGGGTGGTAGTTGATGTAGTTGTGGTTGTAGGTGGGTTTCATGGTCATTGGGCGATTCACGCATGACACCACGTGAAGGAAATATATAACGATAGGGATATAGTGCAAGGGAACAAGTCAAAGATCACATGTTGTCCTCTGCTCCTCTCCCGCCCCCCTACCTTTAAACCACAGCTGCTTACAAACAAGGAAGCAACTGGCACATCCATTCATCAACGCAACAACCAATTAAAACAATAATATATATAACTACTTCAAAACTTTGCAACAAGATGAAAGATAAAATAACAACGCCATAAACATTCAAGCAGGACTTCTTTAAAGATAATCCCAGCAGTTATACTACATCAAATTCAAACCTTTTCCTCATTTATGTTCATAATAATACTTAACAGGTGTGATTAACCACACCCCACACAAAAAGAAATAACTAGAGCCAACTCATTTTAAATGCCAATAAATTTTAATAAAAATCTAATGCACCATGGTTGGCAGAACATTTTCACTTTTTTCATCATTAAAAAAAAAATAATAATAATAATAATAATTGCAAGAGCCAAAACAAAAATCACAAGGCTTTCTGCCCTCTTATGAATAAAAAAAAAAATAAAGTAATAAATTACAGTAACAATTATCGGTGACAAAATAGTGGCTGAAGTACTAAAAAGTGTCTGTATAAAAATGAAAATGCTCTACCATAAAAAGGAGAAAGAATTTTTGAAAAAAAAGAGCCAATTAGAGCCAAACCCACCTATTCACAAATATAATAAAACCCCTGTGACAGAACAAAAATAAATCATAAAGGTTTTACTACTTACCAAATCTAGGGGCTGTAAAGAAAAGGTTAGGACAGGACAGAGGCAGAGAGAGCTGAGTGAAAGAAACAGGAGGTGGAGGTAGAGGATGAGGACTTAAAGCACAAACTCAGGTCTGGCTGTACTCACCGAGGAGGATGCGCTATAGGACCTGGTTCTACGCCGCCTTCGTTTGTGCTTACGCCTGCTGCCTTTCCTCCGGTACGACTCTTCTTGTTCACGCTCCCTCTCACGGCCGCGTCTGTAGTCGTACATGTTCGGCGAGAAGTCACGTGGATAGTAACTTTCGGCTGCTCCATGTGGCTCCCTGTCTCTGTCGCGTTCTCTGCTCTGATCAAACCGTCTGTATCCCTCGCAGTATCTTCTGTCAAACGGTCGTTGTTCCACTGACCGATTGTCATAGCTGCGACTGAATAAGTGAGCAGAGAAATATCCCAAAACCTTAGGACTGGCAACCAATAATAAAGTGAAAGAGGGTTAAATATAACATGAAAGAGTAAAAGCCCAAGCTAATTTGACCATAACGCACCTCCGTGACCGTACATAGCTTCCTTCCTGTCTGTGTCCACGTCCCCTCCTGTCTCGGTCCCTTTCTCTGTCACTGCTGGAGGAGTAAGTCGGCGTTCTTCTGTGTCGATGTCTTCGCCCTCTGTCTCGGTCTCTGTAACGATCCTGGTAGCTGGCTCGACTGTCTCTTTCCGAGGACGAGTATCGTCTTGTGTGAGGCATCTGGTGTAAAAAGGAAACAAATTAGCACAGAGTACCAAAATATGTTTAAGGAAAGTCACTCCTTACATTCAAATTATTGGAGCAGCTGATCACTGCCAAACTCATGGGATTTGAGGGACTAAATACCTGCACGTTTCTCGTGTGTAATTACAGACCCCCCACAATACCGTAAAGTTCAGAGTTATTCCCCAAAGGCTCAAATCAGGACTGTGTATATCAGCACAGCTTTTCCACATATGGGTTCACAAAGCAAAAATCGGTGTTACCTTACTGAACAATACTCCCTTTACTTTTTATTTTTTGACCTTTCGCCAATAAAAACGTATTAAACCTTAAGTAATTTGAACTCCGCACAATCCAGAAGTCTCGCGAGTCTTCTGGGTTCCCTGATTTAACTGTCGTTATGTTTTAAGAATTTAAATTGAAAGTAAAAAGACAATTTCATAACAAACTTTATTGTCAACTTGGAAACAGGCACTTTTAGCATCATACGTTCAACTGCATGACAAGTGTAAATATTATTTTTACTGTTTAATTAAACTACCCTTAACCTAGAACTAGACATTTCTGTAAACGTGGTTATATAGGAGGCCACCCTCAGAACAACAGTTCAACTTTCCTTCATGCCTAAAAAGGCAACAAAATTTTCCAAAGGACCTAAAACTATGTGCAAAACTATTGCAACGGGTCTGAAAATACTGAAAATAAGAAGAACAGCGTTCAAATGAGATGATATAGCTATAATAACCCTGTTGCATGACCATAATAAACTTGACAACCCCCAAACCACACAGCGGTGCATCAAACCATTGCAAAGCCATTAGCACTGTAGTCAGAAGTAATTATTAGAGCAAATGAGTTCAGTTGAGCTTTATCCAACGCAGAGTGAAAGCACAAGTAAATGCCAAGTTAATAAATTGATCGTGGCTACTCATTAAGCGTTGCCTATGCTGTTTACACACATTCCAAGACGATGCAACACTCGTTAAACGTAAAGCTAAATTACCGTTAAGGTCGTTAATCTCTGCATGGATTAGTAAAATTAAGCATCTTTAACACACCAGCCCATTTACTAACAGCACCAACATTTCAAAGCCAGGAGAGAAGTAACTAATCAACAAGCGACGTAGTATCTATTAGCATGCACTGCTAGCAACTAGCTAATGTAAATAATTTGACCGCCATCTTAACTTAGCTGCGTTCGTCAAGCTAACTTGCTACTTACGCTAGCAGCCGCGCTAACTGCAGAATCGCTATGTAGCTTATTTAAATAAACACGGTGTTTACCGTTTTAGCAGCGAGCCCTGTACGTTTATCCCACAAAAAATCCGTGGTGGCGTTCCACTTTTCTCCTCTACCTTCTCGCCAGCTCGATGTTCAAAGCTCTTTTGCTATCACCTAGCCAGTTTTTTTTCTGTCTGCTTAGTACAGCTAGTTCTGGTTCAATTCGGCGCTCGTACCGCCCTCCTGTGCTCAAATGTGGCTACTCCTGTTCGAAGGTAGACATCCACAAGGAACTAGTGAGGAATTACCACCCCAACCTACAACCGTTACAAGTCCTTATTAAATTATGGACAGCTGATTTTTATCAGCTACCTTTTAACTTTTGTTTTCTCCATGTCCAAATATTTGACTTACTGTTTTAAACCTTTTAAAATGACATACCTGTGGTGGTATACAAATTACTATGGAGAAAGGGCAGTGAACAGATTTAGGAGGAAAGGATGAGATGGTTTAGACGTGTAGATGAAGGATAGTGAATATAATGGAGGTGAGATGGAGGCAGATGGCGGCATTCTTGCTTTTATAAGCTTTTACATGTTAAGTCACACATTTTGATTTTAATTCCTTGTAGTTTTATTACAAACATTTTGATTTATTTCTTTGGTAAAAACAACTTGAAAATGAGCTGCAGACCTTGGAGACACACACATATAAAAGATGCCCTCTTTTTCCCTTTTTCAGATTAACACATAATAAGTTTGAACCTACTTAGAAATTTTTATTTTCGTCCAGCTGTACAAAATCTGTTATAAAATGAATACATTTGCATCAGTCGCATCTGCATGACCTGAAGGCATTATCCCCAGGAGTAAGAGAAAGGCACAGTAGGACAAACTTAAAGCATCCTCATAGTCCATCAGTTTGATGATGGTGATGGCTCTAAAGCACACAAAACAGGGAAACAGAGAGACTAATAAGCCAGCAGGGATAACCAGGATAACATAATTTTTCTCCACATACGAAAGTAGTTTACCATTGACTGAGGTAGTGTTACTCTTCCGCCCGTCCTCCTTTTAAGTCTTATTTAAATTCTCATTCACACAAATCATTTGTTCCAAGCAACTGGAGCCTCGGTAGATCCACTCCTTATGATCATCATCCTAAACATGAAATGAACACACTACAGTAAGTCACACAATTGAAATAAATATAACAGGATTTAAAAAAAAACAGGAACAACTTAAGATGGAACAGACCAGAAAAACAACTTCCATCAAACTGCAGTCGATCTCCAGTACTTTACACCTCTGCAGGAATCCGTTACGTTCCACGTTTACAGTCTGTCCGACATGGTACTGCGTCATGGGTGGATATGGCCACTTCTTTAAATAATTCTGCATGAAAAGCTTGTGCTTTTCATCTAGGATATCATCCAAAGGGTTCTCCACTGTCATAGAAAATGGAAAATCTTCTTAGTAGCAGTATTATAATAGCAGCTGCTGTGGACAGCAAGTATAGAAGAATTGGGATTCTGGATTTTATAAAATTAGATATTATGGACTTGACGACACCAGCTGTCATAAGACGACAGGCGGGGTACACCTGGACAGATCGCTAGTCTGTCACAGGACTAACACAGAGACAGACAACCATAAATAACCTGAACTTACGCGGTTTGCAAACCATGTGCATTGCACGTAAGCTAGCATACACTGGAGTGTGATCATCAGTAAAAATCAGGAACCTGGAATATAAAAATTAAAAGCAATTTTACATTTTTTTCCCACCTTCACAATCTGAATTTATCACCAGAGTAAAACACACTAACCTCATGCGGTTTTTTCTGGAGGGGACCTCTGCCATGAAACCAGGCACGAACTGGTCGTCTTTGCTCCGGACCACCACACGCGCACCGACAAGCAACTCATTCACCTTTGGCATGTGTTCAAAGGCAATGTGGTGACCAGACACTAGGCTCCTCCCCTTCTCCTTAAAGTTGACCTTGTATTTCACCCTGCCGTCTTCTGAAATGATTAAAGAAACATTGGAAACACTTCAGATTATACCACATTTGCTTCTACGTACTGCTTTTCTTGAAAGAAGAAATGTCAAATACAGGTGCATTTGTTAAATTAAATGGGTTTTTTTCTCATATCAAATGTATCTATTTTCTTTGAGAGAGTAATCAAAAGCGCTTAAGCGCCAGCTGTTAAGTTACAGCATCACAATCTGTGTCAAAATGTGCTGTCAGAGGAATTCAGTTGGTGAGGCCCAAACACCAACAAACTTTAAACTGTGGTAATGTCACTCATATGTCATATCGCATGGTGTGTGTAATAACAACAACCACAACCACAACCACTCAACAAAACATAGAAGAAAAAAAAAAAAGAGTAGAAAGAAAAAAAAATCTAAACGTTGCTAGTCTAGCCTCAACTATGGGACACGGATATGTAAGAAACATACCTTCCTTTAGCATCACATAATTTCTTTTGTTTACTTTGAAGTTTAACATTTTTGTTATCTTAGCCACCAGAGCAACAGTGTGTCGAGCTCTGCTTGCCGTGACATCCTGATGACAATCAGTGTCAACAGAGCTACAGAATGTCTCCAAATAAATGCAATTCATTGCTTAACGTACTCACTACCTCAAAGCCATTTCACAGATTACACTGATTAAATGTCAACCAACATTCCCAACTACACAAAACAAGACGTCTTTAATCGACGAGTAGCTGTCAAGCTAAAGACAAATGTGAAACTTTACAATCTGCTTTGTGCTTACCAGTAGAGTCTTTTCTTTATTATTCTTACCCTTTGTTATTATTTCAACAATTGTCCCTGGATGCCAGCTCAAAGGCCTCTTTCTGGCCAGGACCTTCATGTCCACAGTGATCTGTTTTTGTGGCACCGCAGCAGGGGTCTTTGTGGATGAGGACTGAGAAGCAGCTGATACAGTGGTTACAGGAGTTACTCCTGTCGGCGTAAAAGGAGCAAAATGTCATTTGACGATTGGATAGATCTTGTGATTTCTGTGTTTGGAAATCTGGTAGTGATCTGTTCCTCAGTGTACAAAGCAAGATCTTTAAATTTGCCAATATTTTCTACTCTTCAACAATATAATACAGCTTTAAATCAGCTTAAAAACACACAAATCCCCACATAAACCTAAGATCTGGGCAAAAAAAAAAAGGGCGTACATGGAGTTTTTTATGTTTTTCCATAATGTATATTTTGTGGTCATTACCTGAAGCGCTTGCTGGTTTTGTCGATGTTTTCGTTGCCTTGCTCTCAGCACTTGCGTTTGTGTCGGCTTGTGATGACTTTGCCGTTTTGCCTTTTGCATCAGGAACTGTACCCGCTTGCCGCGTCAGTGTTTTCACTGGGCTGCTTTTGGCGCTGCTTTCTGCGTTTGTTGTCAGAGTCGATGTCTTTGCTCCGCTTCTGATGGAGTTTCTTCTCTCCTGATGTGTTGTGTCATTCTTAGTGTGTTTTCCATTCTTTTTGGCCATTTTTTTCCTCTTGTTTGAACGTGTACTTGAAATAGAAAAGTCGGTATCACTCGAGTCTCCGCTGGGTTCCCACTGCATGTCAGACCCATCAGTGCCTAAAGACTCATCTTCACTCCAGTGATTCTGAGGTGATGGAGGAGATAGAGAGCTGGTCATTTGAGATCCAGTCATTCTGGTCAGGACCACTACTGGGCTCTTCAAAGCGAGAGGGTGTTTTTTTCTCAGAACTCTTTCTTGTTTTTCGCTGTCTTTTGGCTTAGATGAAAAAGAAGCCGAGCCATCAGAAGCCAGAGGTCTGTGGACTTGAGTTTCTGAGGGAGCAGACTCGCATGACAGTGGTGATGCTTGTCCTAAAAACAGTAAAAATCACAGGTTAAATTGTAGCTTTCAAACAAACCTACCAAGTGCACATTTTTTAATTCAATTTTGCTTTACCACAGCTTGCTTGGTTATTGTCATCGTCCAAATCTGTGTCGCTGTACTCCCATTCCAACAATGAGTAAAGTTTCTTGACAGTATCCTCACATGCAGCCACAGACCTGAATGACAAAAACAAAGAGAAATGAATGAAGAGAAGATAGAAAACACAGAGAAAGTAACCAGTGTACAGGCTCTGATATTTAACATAGCACATTCATGCCTCGGAAGAGATTCTGGCAAATCATCAGGCGACTCAGGAGGGGAAAGTCGTGCTCTACCTGCACTGTGTATAGTGCAGGTGGAGCACTGCTGACTTTGACTAAGAATATTGTCGTGCGGTGGAAGGAATACTTCTTAATCCCACTGACACATCTTTCGTAGAGGAAGCAGAGTCTGGGGAAAAGGGGGACCACGGTCCTCAGCCAGAAAAACGGTTGAGTTGCCACTCCAGGTCAGAGACAAGTAACTTCCCCGAGTGGAGGTGCTTAAGTATCTCTGGGTTTTGTTCACTAGTGCAGTGACTAAAAGATCGAGATCGCGGATACAAGCAGCAGAAATTAGCTTTCTCCGAAGGGTGGCTGACCTCTCCCTTAGAGATAGGGTGAGGAGTTGGCCATCTGGGAGGGGCTCAGAGTAGAGCCACTACTCCTCCACATCAAAAGCAGCCAGCTGAGGTGGTTCGGGCATCTGACAAGGATGCCTCCTTGGTGAGGTGTTCCGGCATGTCCCACCGGGAAGAAGCCCCAGGGCAGACCCAGGCACGCTGGAGAGATGATATCTCTTGGCTGGCCTGGGAATGCCTTGGTGTTCCCCCATACAAGCTGGAGGAGGTAGCCGGGGAGAGGGAGGTCTGGGCTTTTCTGCTTAGGCTGCTGCCTCGGATAGGAAAATGGATGGATGGATGGCATCCATGCCATCATAAATACATAAAGAATCATCACATTTAGAACAAAATCGTGTCTTTTAAAGAAAGCCAAAACAACTTTTTTTTTCTTAAATTTTTTATCTTATATCTTAATATGTTATGCAATGTTCTAGTTAGTGTGCATTGTATAAAAAGTAAAGGATACACTCAGTACACTTAGTGCCCAGGTTGCAAAAAAAAAAAAAGGTTATCTACTTATCACAACACACATTGTTAGAAGCCTGTAGAAGGACGTGTTATTGTGGGACAGTTTTAAGGCAAAGTAGGTGGGATTAACTAAATGTCATTAAAAGCTCAGCAGGGACTACCCTATTCAAGCACTTGCATGAAATTTTTATGCTTTTGCTTCCTTGCAAGAATAAATTATTAATAAATTATGATATATGTCAATTACAGTAGATATTCATTTAGAAAGCTAAAAATAGACAGAGAAGTTCCTCTTTCTATCACGGTCAAAGGAGCTTGCAAAGAAAAGCGTCTGGACTTCTTTAAATTGCTTGGAGACGTTTCACCTCTCATCCGAGAAGCTTCTTCAATTCTAAGGTCAAATGGTGGAGAGTCCCAGATTTAAACCTAGTTGGAGTATCCCCCCGCAGAGGGACAAAAGGACCCCTTGATGATCCTCTAATCGCCTGAGCCAAGGTGTGAAACTGGGTGTGGGTCCCAATCAGCCAGCGTTTCGGGTGAGCTCATTGTGAAACCTGGCCCCACCTTATCATGCGAATTCCTGAGGTCAGATGGCCCAGGATGTGGTGGGCGTTAAGGCGTCTGGGGAGAGAATTCAAAACTGGATTATAGATGGCAGAGAGTTGGTGTCGTAAACCACCGCCTGTGTTCAAAGATGGTCGCTCACAGTGGACATACAGGGAGTGCAGAATTATTAGGCAAATGAGTAT